AGTTTGCATGACCAGGGCTGCCGCTTTTTTCCAGCTCGGGGCTTTGCCGGCAAAAAGCGCCAGTCTAGACGGGGCTCTTTCAGAAAATAAAGCGTTTTCCAAAAGATCCCTTATTCCTGAATTTAAGAGGAATAAGGGATCTTTCGGAAAAGGCTTTATTTTCCGAAAGATCCCCGTCTAGACTGGCGCTTTTTGCCGGCAAAGCCCCGAGCCGGAAAAAAGCAGCAGCCATGTTCATGCAAATGAAGTGGGGGAGATTTAAATCCCCGCTTCATTTGCAATTGTGCTGTGTCTAATCTGCATCCCTTTTCCGCAAAAGGGGTGCAGTCTAGACACAGCCACATAGTGGCATGGAACCATTGAGTACTATTAGCACGACCCTCTTCTTCTCTCACTCACTTTGGGAGAAAATGTTTGAACTTTTTACTGGTTGTAAGCTATTATTGGTTCTACTATTATATCCCATTATGGCTATAGCGCCAATTCAGGGAAGCACTTGTCTTAAGCTCATACAAGTTGGTTCATAAATTCAGACTCCATGGCCAGAAGGAACCATTAGATAATCTAGGCTGACTTTCTGCATAACAAGCCATTGAATTTCACCCAATTACCCCAACAGTCTACACATTCATAAGTCTGAGTTCATACACATTCAGGAAACCATTGAAGAATGTGCGCTTTTATTGTATTGAATTCTGCATGAGTTAACCATAAGCCTTAACTTAAGCATGGTCCTGAATTAATGGCATGGGTGGTAGGTGAATGCCCACTTCAGGAAAACAAGCCCCAGTCCTGCCCCTTCTCTCCACGGCTCCACCCTTTCAACAACCCCATAGAGCCAAGCCCAGCACCCACCCTAAGTATGACTACACAGCAGTTGTTTTTTGGAATAACTGATGTTATTCCAAGATAACATAGCCTGTGTCTACACTAAAAGCAGTTATTTCAACATAATTTCAAAATAATGTAGAACTGGAGGACTTCTTATTCCAACTTCTGTAATGCTCATTATATAAGTGTAAGCAGGGACTGTGTAAGGGAATTTGGAGGAAGAGTGCTCTCTCTCGGACTTCCTGCTATGCAGACCGTGCCAAAAGCCGATTTTGACTTAAGCTACGCAATTGACATAGCTCACGTTTCGTAGCTTATTTCGGCTTTATCCCCACTGTGTAGATGTCTCCCCCATCCCAGTGAGTGGCATGGCCTCACTCTTCTCACCCAGCTGGAGCACCTGGGCAGCCACGCTGTGGCTCCAGCCCTCCTGGATGGGCAGAAGGTCAGGCAGCCATGCCACAGCCCCCTGCACCCAGGATTGTGGGTATAGGAAATCAGCAATAGCTGGTAAAAGGCAAAAGAGAACATAATTATGCCCACTGTATATTGGTGTAAATCAAGAGTAATTCTACTGACATCAGGTAAATCTGGTGTAACAGAGAAGATTCAGACTTGTATTTGGCCAACAAGGAAAAAACAAAGGGCATCTGAACTTAATCTTTCAGTCCATCCTACAATTTACCAATAGAAACTTAAGGACCCTATGAATGTGTGTGCACAGCCCATGACCAGGAAAGGTATCTTCTAATGAGATCTCCTTTGTCAGATTGAGGGGTGGAGTTGATTTAAAGAGAGTTAACTGAGGAGAGAAAATGGAAGAATCCTCCATTGAGCCCACCAATTCCAAAAAAGTATATAACAATAGCCATGAAGAGGATTCCTCCCCAATTCAACAGGCCTGATTCTCCTCTCACTTGTATCCGTTTTACACCGCTACCGCTCCATTAATTATTTAGGATAATGGCTATAGGAAGAGCTGGAGCCTGTATCTTTTTGTCTCTTATTAAAAGGGCAAGTTTGCAGTTCTGGAAGTGATCACTAATCATGTGATACATGATAAAGTGACAGAACATCAAAATCTAATTGTTTGCCATCATTAGAGCTTTAGTATTCTCGATAGACACTTGTATGCAAGTGTACCTAGTATCATAGCTTTATTGCACACATGGTGCTGAACAGGCCTTTTATTTCTTTATAATGAATCCTATAGAATTTACAGTTACACAACTGAGTCGTTATTTATGATTTTTTAAAATAATGAAGCCGGAAATATTGCAGAAGCAGCAACTCAGCAAAAGGATATACAATGCCTGTGGATTTTAATATTCCACAACTTGTCTGCTGTTCCAGGGCAGTGGTACTGGGAGTATGACATGCATTTTAAGGAACCTGTGGCCTAAATGAACAGAGGAATTTAAGCTCCTAACTGCCATTTTAAATGCTTAAGTCCAAAATTTAGATCCTCAAAATCACTGCTTGGTTGCTGCCTATCCCCAAAGGAACCTACATTCCCTAGTTGCCTAAGTTTCTGCTACTAAAGTCTTCTAGGGCCTGAGGGTTTCACTACATAGAAAGTTAGTGAATAGTAAGTTAGGACATGAATTTAAAGTGCACTAGCTATTCTGCACTAACTCCCCCTGGAGACACACTTACTAAAAGTTCCTTTGTGAGGTTTAGCTTAATAACTTAAAAATGGATAAGCTAAACTGCCCAAAGGCACTCCTAAGTACTGAGTAAGGGTGCCCTCCCACATGGGGAGTTCATGAAAAATAGCTAGTGCACTTTTAAATTCACATGCTAGCTTATTCCACCCAATTTCCCATGAAGACAGCTTTATTTCTTCTAGCAACTACGTGCCAGTTCTGATGCCACCAAACTGCTCAGTGCCTAAGCTGCAGTGAGATCCTCACACTAGACATCTTACTTCCTATCTCTATTGGAGCAGGCTCTGTACAAAACACAGGAGGAAAAATTGGTGCCCTTCTGATAGCCCAATGGTTGGAGCACTCATCCTGAGTACAAGAGACCTGGATTGAAACTGCAGCTCTCCCTTCCTGGGAGCAGGGACACGAGCCTCCCAAGAGAATGCCTTAACCACTGGGCTATAAGGTTCTCTGGGATGGGTCTTTTTCAATCTCTCCTGTTGAATGTTTCCCATTTTGTATCAAATATTTATGCAGTGGATTGGGAACTAGAGTCTGGGCATCCCAGGACACTGTATTACCTGCTAGGCTATAGAGCTGAGTTTCCCAAAGTGTGCTCCTTGGAGCCCAAGAGCTTCACACGCTGGGTCTAGGAACCCCACGAGAAAATATTAATGGTAGTTGTGTGACCCTGTTATTTTGTTACTAATTTTCTCATACTTCTCAGTGGGGAAGAATGTGTAAGAAATATGCAAGAAATAAAAATAGAATTCCCAAATATTGTCTATTTATGTGGGTACCTATTGAATTAAAAATCACACTATTTTAAGGGTTCCTCCAAATTTTCAGGACCCTCCAATGGTTCTGCGGCCAAAAAAGCTTGGGAAACCCTGCTATAGAGCTATACTCACTCTGTCAGGCCCAATGGGAGGTAAGAGATTTAAATTAGTGTTAGAGCAAAATTTAACTCTGTACATGGTGGCTAGAAAATTCTGTCCACAGTTATTTTTATGTACATGGAAAGGCAATCCATATATGGATTCAGCAGCAGCATGATTCCAATTAGTCACTGAAGGCTGTATTTTGTCCTCAGTATATTTATATACCATTCCTATTGTCATCAACAAGACCTGTGTGCAAGGATCCAGTGGAGCACACATAGTCCCTTATGTGCAAAAACAATCAATAGACAGTTCCTTCTTTCTCTCTCATCTATTCAGGGCACATTTGGTGCATGATGGGGACAGAATAAGCTCCGAGGATAGGTTAGGCAATGAGATAGGAGGAGGATGTTAGGTTTTATTTTAAAAATAAATAAAACTAAGACTAATTCAACTGTTTTTATAAAATTAAAAAATAGAAACAGTTCTTCAACCAAACATTCCACTGAAGTGCCTGAAATGCAATCACTACTTGGTTGAGTTAGTTAACTGGAGCCTGAAAGGGAGACTGGCTAGATCCTGATTACATATAGAAGTGAAGTCATCTTGAATGCTTTCATTGCCTACATTCAGAGTAATGCAAAAAGCAAACTACTTGTAATATAGGTTAAGGGCCAAACAATGTCTCTTTAATAAACATAGCCAATGCTATGGAATTTGGAAAATGTATCTCAAATTTATTTTTTGTAAATCATTCCTTTTAGAGTCTACAAATATATGATATGAATCAGTGGCAACGTAATTGTCCAAGAATACTACCTTTGTAATATATCTGAACATTTATCACCCACTGCCACCTGCAAACACAACTCCAGGGTAAGCTCTTGTGCAATTTGTCCCAGATCTCTGAAGGAGTATGCTGTACATACTTACAAATGAGACACTAAAATGTCTATCATAGACATCCTTGTTTATGAGTTTGATGGTTTCTCAGGGATTAACGAATACCATGTTTTCAAAATAATAATTAATAATAAACAATAACAACAACAACAACAACAACAGAGGCTCCCTGCTCATGGTGAATTCCATTTGCTAAGAAGAAAGATTCAGTTTATGAACCAAGCATTGCTTCCTTGCCATGAACTGTAACATTGGTATACCTACGGCTTCATAATCCGCCAGCTCCAGCCTAGCTTTGTTCTGCATGGTCCGCTTGCAAAGATAGATAGCTAAGGAGAGAGCCATAATTAAAACAATTAAGAAAATAGCAGTTAGTACAGGACCAAACCTCCTCCCCCCTCCAAACATTAGTGTGCATGTCTTGTTCATTGACATCAAAGTTAAATCTGATCTATAGAATGACACAGCTAGAGGGTTTTGTTTGAGGGAAATGACTTTTTCCATCAAAATTTTCACCAGGAGTAGAAACACAAAACCTAGCTGGTGGCCCCTCTTCTAATTAGCTGGGCTGCATATAAATCTCTCCTGAGTAGTCTCATAAGCACTCAGCTTACAGGGTACACTGGTCATGGCTATGGTCCTTCCCTTTACCCTAACAAATATTATTTCCAGAATCCACAGTGATTGTGGCCTGGGGGGAAAGGAAGAATTTATTTAGGTTATTAACTTGGCCATAGTTACTGAGAGGACCTGTTTTATGAGCTCACACGTGCACTCACTTCCTCTGCCAATGCCACAGTAGGATGGAATAATTGATTTTATCAGGTAGATGTGAGAAAAGCATAGGACTACAAGTTACAGCTATAATGCTAATGCAGAAATAGCTTAGGACACCACTGATGTATTTTTTCTTTATGAATTATTCTTGCCCTCAGCCATTCAGATGTTTAATACGGTGTCCTGTGGTTTATTAGCTAAAACCACTGCTATTCACCTGTCAGCAGGTACCATCTGGTAATTTACAAGGATTTTCTCTCTTCATGGTTTTTAATGCTGCACACCAAAAAGCTTAATTTTTTTGATTGACATTACTAATGATATGTTATTGGAGGTTAGATAACTGTATTGATCAGCTACTTCCGTGCTCAATCAGGATTTAACGCTTATCAAATTCAGCTACAGATCAAAGAGTATCCTACCATAGGAGCAATCTTTGTGCTACTAGATCCTATTCATTCTTATGAGGGAAATTCTTATACCTTCACACTGACTATCACATTTCACCCCAAGTAGTCTTGTTGAAAAAAATAGGGCTATTTGAAAAGAAAGGTGCTACTCAATGGGTAAAAAACCTGGCTCCATTGAAGTCAATGACAAACTCATTGCCTTCAATGCAGTTGGGATTTCACCTAATGTAAGGATAGCATGTGGCATGGCTCTTTTGTGGTGTTGAAGAGGAAAATCAGAATTTGATGTATTGTAGACCACCAATAAATAATTTCTGCAGGGCAACAGTGTGACTTGTGCAGCTTTCAACAGGAACTTTCAAAAACTAGAACACTTTATTCTCACCATAGTCTGTGTTTTCTGGTTCCCAGCAGTTTGAAGGCCAAAAGTACGGGGCCTGAAAAAGAGCACATCATATTTTAACCATTTCATTTAATCTTAAACAACTGAACCTTGTGCAGCTGAAAATTATAAATATTTTGATGCCCCTGACAATGTAAGGTCCAAACCCTGTTGTTATGGAGTCCAATGGAAAATACTGCTGTTCAGATCAGTGGACACAGGGTTAGTATCAGCAAACTTTCTCTGCATGTATTGCTTAGGGATAAATAAAGAGACCAACATAGAGATTCAGAGTTCCTTTAGATTATCTTTGGACACCCTCTACCCCTACATTTGACTATTGGCTTGGTCTCCATCACCCTGCAACCTCTCTCATCCCCAAAAGAACCTGTTCTTGCCTTGAACCATCTTTAAGGAGTGGGAGAACATTCCTGTGGCCTTTTTACACATCATTAGGTTTTGAGCACAGTTAATGTACTTGGCACAGTGGAGTAGGAAGGTGATTCAAGCAAAATATTTTTTGGCACACCTTGCAAACAAAGGTCTCCTGCCCCAATTTACATTTACTGGACAACGAGGTTCCTGCTAAGTTTTTCTGTACTTGGGAAGAATAAATTTTGTTATATGCACTGAGAAATGTGCGCATGTGCACCACCAATAGAAATACATGCTGTCCATTGTGAGCAGCTGTGGGCACTCTGCTAATCAGCTGAGCAGCACCTGAATTTTTGCTGGGCGGCCACCTAAGTGCTCAGCTTGTAGGGAACACTGCTAGACAATACAATTCAAATTAAGAATGAAGTTAAGCAAAAGTAATTTACCCAAAGACCAATGTAATGTATTTTTGAAAGAAGGGCTCATACTAATATCACTGGTTTTCCCTTCTGCTCAGGAGAGGACATTCTAACCACCCAGTTTAAACTTTCTGCTATGATTAACTACAACAATATTAACTACATGTTAGTCACAATGCAGTTTTTATGTGCACAAAAGAGTAACTCCTCTGTAATCACATGAGTTACAGAGGTCACTGTTAATTATAAGTGCCAAAGATGGGGGGAGCACTTTGCATGCATGTAAGAAGATAGCTCTTTGTGCCAAGGAGCAGTGAGAGGAAGGGTTGTGTCAAAAAATATTTGGTCCAAACACTACCCAAGCACATTACATGTGAAAGCAAGAGGCTGATATAGTTAAATTAGTGGAGTAGGAAGGTGATTCAAGCAAAATATTTTTTGTGTAGAATGACGGGGCCAAATAACATGGCAGGACACTGAGAGCTGACCAACAGGTTCTAGAAGAAAATACACTGTTTGGAGAAAACAACGCCATCTGGGGACAGAGTGTACATGAGATGAAAATGGGAAAGAGGTGTTAAACATGATACTGATGTTAGCGCCTAGTTGACAGGGTGGAAGATAGGAATTTGACAGCTAGAGATGACATCCTGCTAATCATCCTTTTTTGATAGATCTTTTAATGAGTCCCAGTGGGAAAATACAATTGCACAGGTGAATTAATGACTATTTGGTAATTAATCTATGCTTCTGCTGACTGTTGGCATTAATGAAGCAGTAGGGCAGCGGGAACTAGTGGTGGCAGCAGCGGTGGCAGAGGTGAAAGCCTTTTCAATAAAAGCTAAAAAAAGGGTGGCAAAAGAAGGCAGGGGAGACTTAGATGATAGAGAAGGCAGGAGTACACAGAAGAGAGCGAACAGTAAGGCAAATGGCTGAGTGGAAAGATCACTGAAACCTATTTCCAGATGCGATGCGGGCCTGCTGGGTAACCTGGGGCCAGTCACTCCACTGCCTTTAACCTCAAAAGCTTCTCCTTCTGTAAAATGGGAATAATGTTTGCAAAGTGCTTTGAGCTCTGTGAATGGAAAGCGCTATGGAAAAGCCAGGTATTGTTAGCATTATTAGGGACCATTTAAAAGGGGGAAACAACTTCACATGAGCTCCAGGTTTGCTCTTTCCTCATAATTTTCAACAACAGACAAACTGTTACAGAAAATGAGCTTCTGAAGCACAATTAGTGAATTAACAGGGAAGCCTCAGGCCAGCAGATTTCAGGAGGGCTGTGTAAAATGACTAGGTCTTGCAGAGGCCCAGCCAAAGAGAATGTGGGGCTCAAGGCAGCACGCTGAGCTGCACTACTGCATGGCTTGCAGCTGGGTGGGCGGGGCTGGAAACTGGGCAGCGCTGGGCCCTGAATGCACAGGGCCCAAGGCGACCGCCTCACTCACATTGCCCAAAGGATGGGTCTGGTCTTGCAGTTAAACACTATACAACTGGAAACAGTGTCAACATGAGGAAACTCAGGCCTGGAGTGTTTAAGTGATTTTTGCCAGGGGCACAGAGACTCTCTGGCAAAGCCAGAAATGAAACCCTGATATTCTGACTTCCAAACCTATGCTTTAACTGAGAGATGTTCCAACTAACCTAATATAAACCCGAGCATGGAACTAAGATGCAAATTCTGGAGTCAGACTTCTAACACTTCAGTATTTGAATGTGTTCAGATCTGGGGTTTGATCCACATAGCAAACTAATTACCAAGTTCAGGCCTATGTTGAGATTCTGAAAGCAACTTACCTCTAGATTTGGGGGTTTGATTCAGGCATCAGATAAATATACTTTGGTGCTGTAGAACCAACATTTTTAAAGGGACTTCACTGGTACTGTCCAAGGGTATGTCTATACTGCATCCCTCTGTTGGCAGAGGGATGCAGATTAGACAGGTCGACATTGCAAATGAGGCAGGAATTTAAATATCCTGTGCCTAATTTACATAAAAATGGCCACCACGTTTTGCAGACTCAGCACTTTATCGGCAACAAGTGGCAGTCTAGAGGGGGATCTTTTGAGAAAGAAAGCCTTTTCCGACATACCCTGTAAACCTCGTTGCAAGAGGCATAAGGGATCCGTGGAAAAAGGATTTCTTTCTTAACAGATCCCCCTCTAGACTGTCACTTGTTGCCAATAAAGTGCTGAGTCTGCAAAACGTGGTGGCCATTTTTATGTAAATTAGGTGCAGGATATTTAAATCCCTGCCTCATTTGCAATGTCGACCTGTCTAATCTGCATCCCTCTGCCGACAGAGGGATGCTGTCTAGACATACCCTAAATGACCTCAATAAGTGAAGGGCTCTTTGTGCTGTATAAATCTGTAAGTCTCTAAGGTGCCACAGGACTCCTTGTTTTTGCAGATACAGACTAACACAGCTAGCCCTCTGAGACTTTTCAACCAGCACTGGCTGGCTTAGTGTTCAGGTAAACATTTCAGTGATAATAAAAACAACAATGTAAGAAGCAGAGGGCTCACCCACCTGAAAACGATAGAAGGTCCCATCATCTTTCAGGGTAAGAACATGATCTGAGATTGGAAAGATATAGCCCTGAGCTGCTATAAGACTTCCCATGTGTATTGCTTCCCCTGTGAGAGAGCAGGAAAAGAAAAAAAACACAATAGAAATCTGACAGACTGATTTACACAAGAGAATCCATTGCTCCCAACAGATCTGAAGGTGGCTCACAGTCAGACTTAGTGTGTCCCATGTCAAATTATAACAAGTGAAAAACAACCTTATAGTACTGATATGACTCTACTGACAATGTTTAACTGATGACTTTATTATCCCCATTGATGTGCACAGGGTGTAACACTGCTCTACATGGTGAAATTGAATTCAAAGCACATTGTACATTTCCACTAATAATAATCCTATTCCAACAGAGAATCCATCAATTCGCTAAATAATACAAACAGCTAGAATGATACACTGCTAACAGCATCTTTATTAATAAGAAAACAAATCATTAAAAGGGGGTGAAGGGCTTTCCTCAGAGGGAAATACACTAAGGCAGAGAGGGATACTATTCTGCAACTTTTGGCAGCACAGGGGATAACTTCAGCCTTTTCTCTATAATGCAGGCTGCAGGTCAGGGGACAGAGCTCCCCAGCTGAAGCAAACTGTCAAAGTTCTGTTGACTTAAGAGCTCTGCAAATTTGTACAAGTTGTGGATCTGCCTTTAGATGTACAGTCAGGGCCCCAGTCTTCCAGCAACACAGGCCTTCTTACCTAAGCAAATGTTTAACAAATGGCTTGGAAGTATTGCATGGGATTCTGTAGTTAGCAATATAGGTTCTATATTTCACTAATATGCTGAGAAACAGTAAATATGATTCATATCACTTTCCTTCCCACTTCTCTCCAGCTGACTGTGACCTCATTGTTTTCACAACACTAGATTCAGCCTCTCCCCTTCCCTCCCCAAATCTCTAAAGGTACATTGCTCAGTTTCACCACTCAGATTACCTGGGTCCTCGATGCTGAGATTCTTCATGAGCCATTGCACAATGTCAGTACCTGGAAAGACAGGAAGGCATTACACATATAAGACCTCATATGTACAGAAGCTGTGGAAAACCACCAGATTTAAACAGGAAGGAAAGATACAGAAATTCAGTCAATGCATTTTCTTTCCTATTCCAAATGAAGGCTTGAAGGATCTGTTTATCTGTGTGACACTATTAATTATTTAGAGTTATAAAAGCCCATAGGTGCCTCACAGGATGGACATCTTGATACAAGTTTAAGTTACACTGCATGTGAATTCCACTGAATCTACTCTCCACACAAGGAGTTAGGTTTGTGAAAGCCCCTGTAGATCAAAAAAATAAAACACCTCTTTACTAACACTGTCACCGATAACTGTCATAGGTAATTCCTAGGCTGAAAGTCTCAGGGGTAGCCATGTTAGTCTGTATCTGCAAAACAACAAGGAATCCTGTGGTACCTTAGGGTATGTCTACCCTACCCTCCTATTTCGAAATAGGAGGGTAATGTAGGCATACCGCACTTGCAAATGAAGCCTGGGATTTGAATTTCCCGGGCTTCATTTGCATAAGCCGGGCGCCGCCATTTTTAAATCCCGGCTGGTTCGAACCCTGTGCCGTGCGGCTACATGTGGCATGAACTAGGTAGTTCGAACTAGGCTTCCTAGTTCGAACTACCGTTACTCCTCATTCCACAAAATATTCCTATTTCGAAATAGGAGGGTAGTGTATACATACCCTTAGAGACTAACAAATTTATTAGGGCATCAGCTTTTGTGGGTTTCTGTTAGTCTTTAAGTTGCCACAGGACTCCTCGTTATCCCTAGGCTAGAGCAGTAGAACAGAGCAGCTAGTCAAAGATGAGGGGGTGAAACTAGTTCACATCAGCTACAAAAGAAATGTCTTGGGGAAAAGTGGAACAGTGTGTACTGGGGAATAGGGGGAGTCTCTCTTTGAATGTGTTGTTTGCTGGCGACATCACTGGAGGTTTGTGGAGACTAGGGAGCATAGATTGGATCTGGGTTTTTCGGCTCTAGTCAGGTGCAACAAATGTAGTTATCTTGTAGTGGTGTAAGACCTTTAGAACTGATTCCCTACGTGTACATGACCCACTCTGCTGCCTGCATCAAACACATGCAAACAGAAAATGTCACTATTCATAAGCAGACACTGTTACTGATCAGCAAAATGTAATATAATGGGAGGCAAAATTTTGTCACCTTGTTTAAACCATGTACTGAGCTGCTAACCATCATTTAGGCCATGTCACAAATAGACATCTAAATCCCTTAGCTAACTTTGTCCAAAGTCAGATAGCAAGTCCATGGCAATTTAACAAGTCCATACTGGAGCTGAACTGGAGAAATGAACCCTTTTGGCAAGCTTTTCATGGGACTGCCGTATATTTTGCAGACTAAAACTCTGGAAGCTTTCACCTGCTGCGCCTTATGTGCTGATTAACACAGTATTAGTTACTGGAAGACTTACCTGGTGTTGCCCAAGTCCGGCCCACACACTCAGGCTGCTGGCTTCTCCCTGGGACCAACCCCGGGGGAGAGTGCCGGCCTGGGGGCATAAGAAGCAAACACCCCAGCCTTGCCCAGGGGCCATCCTGGGGCGGGAGGTGTGCAGGCCACCTGCCAGCACTCCCTAGGCCCAAACTGAGGGCTGGGAAGGAGAATACACAGGGTGGCCAGCAGCTGCTCCCTAGGGCTGTCCTGGGTTCAGTGGGGGCCATGGAGTAGTCAGCAGCTGCTCTCCAAGGCAGGCAGGTGTATCAGCTGCTATCAGCAAGTGACTTCCTGCTGGGGTACTTGCTGCCCCCTACGGTCATTCCATAGTATAACTCCCTCCTGCCAGACCCCTCCCTTTCCATTTTATGAGAAACAATTGAATTCTAGGAACATCCCATTGAGCCTGCACAACCAAACCCTGAACTTGCTTAAAGTTCGGATAAAAGGAAGCTGCATAGCAAATTTGGTGGGCCTACCTTTTATTGTTTAGGAGAAGCTTTTGAACAAATGAACTCAGACAGACAGACAGATGCACATTTCTAAACTCAGTCTTTCTTCTCAAGCTTATTTTTGGTAATCCCATGAAAAATTCAAACATGGAAAGTTTATTTGCTGTTTTTTTGCCATTTTATTATGATTTTTACAAATTACAGGTTTAACAGCTCTTGTTAAACTGAAAACTTCTATATCAACTTTACTGACGGAATATATTGCCATTTTGTCAGCCATCTGTCACCACACAGTATACGAACTGAAAGCATAACCCAAAAATAAATCCAAAACCATAATTTAAAATAATGAATCTTAATTTGTCTCACTTTAAAAGTCATTTCTGAGTGTTGCCAAGAGACAAAGATTTTACATCCATTCTTCAGCTTTCCTCATGCAGGCAGATTATCTTTCTGCTGAGTTTGCTGAACCACTATTTATCTGCCAAGATAATTTATTATTCAACCTCTGGACAAGGAGTTGCTTTTCTTTCCCCTGTTTAATTACTGTCACATTAATACCTAGGTCACTAATTATTATTCAATCACAATGAAAACAGATTCCCCTCAAACCACTTTCATCTTTTTGGCTTACCCTGGTTTCAGATCTATCTCTGCCAAAGACCATGTAGCACTTCAGCCCAATCTCACCCATCTACAATAATTCAGTTAATCCATCTCTCAAATTATCAATGTGCATTTAACTATAAAAGTCAGGGTACAAGTTCCCTTGAACAAGATCCCATCTTTTCAAGATAAAAATTCTTTTAAACCCATTCATTCATAATAAAGTTCCCCATAGAATCTAATTTTGCTCTTCTCCTAGAGACCATACTAAAAGTTCTCAAACAATTCACCTGACCGCAACAGGACTCAAACAATACACATAACTTCACTTTTCTGGCTGTTTTCTAGGGTCCATATTATACTCTTCTTCCCTGCTTGCCCAATAATCAATTGAATAAAATACTTTTGCAAGGCTACTTGACTCTGGCAAGTTTCAAATTTCTGCTATAAACCGTGAAAACAAAATAGTTGAAAGTGTCTTTATTACAGAAAGTGCTGGTGACTCAGAATGAATGAGCTACTATCATTCCCTTTAGCCCAGGACTACTCAACATGTGGCCCATGGCCCATTTGTTTGCGGTCCGCAGTGCGTTTTGGATTTACGCAGGGCTCAACACTTGGCCCATGGATGGGAGCCAAAACAAAAATTAGTCAATATGATGGTCTTCTGTTGATATGCATTTTAGAAGTTAAATTCCTGGACTGTCATTGCTTATTAAAAGTGCTGTCAAATGGGTGGAAATCAGGTAAATATTGCATTTTATTAATATCAGCAGAACTGACTTAAATGGGGCCTGTGTGTTGTACAGTCTTGCCTTAATCTTTGTATTCATGCCCGTCAGTGTGAAAAAGCTATTTGCATATATTTGCATATATATTTGCATGTGTATGCAAACACGCTTAAGTTGTGGCCCTCGGCATGTGCTGTGAGTATCGTGGCCCTCGGGGCTTCCAAAGTTGAGTAGCCCTGCCCTAGTCTATACACATACATTCCTCTGTGACAATATATCCACTTCAAGGATGGGCATGTTTATTTTCCTCTTATATACAGTGACACTCTACTGTTTTAGGCTATTATTTGAGGCAGCTGTATGTGAAGTTAGGTAACAACATTGAAGATTTGTCTACATGGTCAAATATAGACAAGCAGCAACATGGACACAGGAAGATGGCTGGGAGAGATCCTGTTTACCCTGGCATGCTACAGCACTGTACCGTGCTACACTCTGGGGCAAGCCAGTTACAGTGCAGTAACTTGCCAATGTAGACAAGCCATTAAGTCTTAAAGGCGTAAGCCTAAGGTATAACTAGGTCCATTCATCTACCTATCTGGTTTAGAGACTGAATAATAAAAAAAACCCTTTATATTTCTTGCCATTTTCTCTTTTTACTTTAGGCCTCAGCGGTCTCATAATGTACCTAGAGTTTCCAGAAGGCCAATGCCTGTCAGCATGACAAATTGCAAGCCAGCCATGAAAAGATAAAATACAAAGAAAAGGTCAAGTGGTATGGGCTCCAGGCAGGATGTATGTAATGAACCAAATCACCACAGCTACACTTAGCCCCTTTTCGATCCCATCTGGCCTGATCCTCTTCTTGTAGAAGAGTCCATCTTGATCTGGGAGGGCCATTCCTAGGGAGCCCAATGGAGAGATTCCCCTACCTTCCTCTTCCTGCACCAAGCACAATGAAGCAACTGCCTAAATACCTAAAACTCCCAATGGCTCACTGCTTGGAACAGAGAATGTATTGTTGATTCTGGGCTAATGGACTTGGACCCTGAAGGGTTTGTTTACTCATCAGTGCGCTGGGTGTGTTCCTAACATGTCAGAGTACATTTTCAAAATCTTACCACACATGTGTATGTCACTGCCTATATTTTTAGGCCTGGGTCCCTAATGATACTTTTATTTGTATGAAATACAAATACTATTGAAGACTATAGGAAGTGAATTCCCTGAAGAACAAAGAACCCAGAGCTCAGTATAATTCCCAAGCTTTAAAGGAAATGCAGAAATGGAGATGGAACAGGAGACAGGCTTTTTAAAAGGTTCAGTTTTTCTTTTGCTGAGTTATTCAAAATCCTGTATAACAATCTGGGGCAAGCTGATAAGCATCAGTGATTGTGGCTAGGGATGTAATAGTATAGCCGATTAACTGATAAGCAAAAGCTTATAGGTTAATGCTTCAGATGATACACACTTCCTCCCCCTACCCTTGCCAGTAAATTTTTTAGCAGGCTGGCCAGCAGCCCACCTCAGTTCTGGCTCACACCAGGTCTAGAACCTACTCCTGCTGTGGCTCTGTATTTAAAGTATACTAGGAGCCGGGCCGGCAGGCAGCTCGGCTCAGTTCCAGCTTGTGCTGGGTTTGGGAGCTTCAGATGCATTTTAGACAGGGGTTGCTGCCACCCCACACTGCTGCCTCTTTATCAGAGGCAACAGCACTGAGCAACAGGCAGC